CAATGGAGACTGCTCTTCCATTAGGCTTCTACGCTCTCATTCTTGAGACAATCAATTCTCTTTTCTAATATTGATTACTCTTCACACCCATTCTCAATACATTATTGTGTGTGGAAGGAAACCTTTCCTCACCAAGAGTGAGACTGAAAACAGGCAGAAAACCCCACGTTTGCTACATTCCTGGAAGCTGTCAGATTGCACAACCTGGGAAATTAGATGGACATGAAGAAAGAGGCCGATATTCTGGATGCTGTGTTCTGGCCAAGGGGAATTTCCCAAATCTCAGTGTTTTGCTTCAAACCTGGCTTCCGCTTCATTCCCCTAGCAAAGCGTCAGTATATATACTGTGGGCACCCTTAGCAGGCAGGAGGGGCAGGCAGCTCAGCTTCACCAGGAGCCTCCTTGGGAAGCAACAGCCAAAGGTGAGGTACTAGAACTTTCCAACACGATTTCTCTTTGCAGACTCCCGTTCCCCACGGCATTCCTGCGCTGTGTCCCAGCTCTCTGCTTCCTTCCTGCATCTCCTAGCCTGACAATTAGGATTCAGCAGATGTGAATACTTTCTGGGACTGGGATTTAGTCGTGCACTTCCTCGGTGAGAGTTCAGGGATGGGTAGAGCAGGCATTCTGCAAAGGTTTGTGCATTGTTTCACTCATCTCATTCGACAGACTGGTATATGGTCACAAAATGCCCAGATGCTTCTTTGGAAGCTTTCTGTACAGTGGGTGTCAGGGCCACAGGTGATGCCTGAAAGGGAAAGTGGTTTATATTAGAAGCGCAGTGCAGTCTCTCATACTGGGATTCCAATGAGGCAAGTGGAAATGGACACGTGGACCCTCTGGAATTCTCTCTATGTATCTGCGTATCACCTGCCTAATATATGTATACGCACTGTCTACTTCTTTCTACATATAATACATACACATATATGTACATACACAGGTATATATGTACACACGTGTGTGTGTGTATGTGTGTGTAGATCTACAGATATAGATACTATTGAGTGTGGCTTAGTTTTGGAATACAAGATCGGATCAACATTACTCCCCGAAAAAACCAATCCAAAGCAAAACTAAACATCTATCATCTTTGTGTGTATCTTTGACTCTGCAGCAGGATGAAGCTTTTCCTGGGCATCCTCTTTTGCTCCCTGGTCCTGGGCGTCAGCAGCCAAGGGTGGTTTACCTTCCTCAGGGAAGCTGGTCAAGGTAAGGCCCAAAGCATGGGGGTCAGGGGGAGGCCGCACCTGGCCTCCCTCCAGGATTCCCCAGAGCAGAGGCCACATCCACACAGGGCAAAGGCCGCAAGTGGGACGCAAAGAAGCATGGTTTTCAAGATAGCAGTTTCCCAGGCTTTCTATTTCTTGATTTTTTAACTGAACTGTATCTGACATATAACATCGTGTATGTTTAAGGTGTATGTCGTGTTAATTTGATGCATTCCTATATTCAATCTGATTGCCTTTGTAGCTATAATTAGCACCTCTCTCATGTTACATAATTTCCCTTTCCTTTTAGTCATTGAAATACTTCAATTCTAGGCTATAGCACGTTTGATAATTATGATACAATATTGTTTGGTGCTCATTATACTGTGCCTTAAGTCTCTAGGGCTTACTTACTGCGTGTGGCTTTTCCCCTTAAACCACAGGTGTCCTATCCTTCCACCCCTGGCTTTTCTGGGCGGCAGTGCACTCTTCCATGGAGATCCCCAGGCTGGAGGTCACATAAAGTTTGGGCCTCAACTTGCAGCAGGAGCAGGAAGAGATAGATGTGGGGTCCAGGGTGCCGGCTCCCTTCCTACAAGTGGGAGTCGAGTGCCGCCTAGTGGGAAGGCAGGGACAGCTCATGGCTGGGTCTCAGGCAGCCAGGAAGGGGTGCCTCAAACTTGTGCACTTAGTCATCCCATCCAAGATGAACGGAGCTTGGCCCGTGCTAGGCACTGTTCTAAGAGCTTCACGTGGATGGATGAACTGGTTTTCATCCTCAGGTTTTAATCTGTGATCCTGCGATGTAGGCACCATCATCCCTTAACAGAGAACCTGAGGCACAAAGAGATGAAGCGTCTGACAAAGTCCTCAAGCAGAGCAGGGTTCACCCCAGTGGTGGAGCCCCCCCAGACTTTGCTAGGACAGGACTGTCCTGCCTCCCACAGCAGAGAGCGCATGGCCGACTGCGGGGTTTGGGAACACACAACCCTCTTGTTTATCTGAGTGAATGGCAGAGAGTCAGGCTGTGGGAGAGGCGGAAGGCCACTCTGCAGAGCTCCTCTCCCCGCAACGAAAGGCACAAGGATTCCATGATGCAGGTTCTGCGGGCCTGAGACCTGGCTGCGCAGGAGAGCAAGAGACATGCGCCTCAGTAGTCAGACTCAGCGGCAAGATTTGTGTATTTCACAAAATCATTTCTTTTCTTTTTCTTTTTCTGTGAGAGTCACTGATGACTGTTTTAAGAGTTTGCTGTCACTCCTTTCTAAATTCTCACAGGCACCACTACAAATGTGTTTCCATCTTTAGGTCAAGGTTTTTCAAAGGGTTGTTCTAGGACCGCGTGCATGAGAATCGCCTGGGGTTTGGGGTGCTTTGTGAAATGCAGATGCTGGGTGCACACACCCCCCTCTGCTGAATCATCATTTTGGGGCTGAGCCTGAAATCTGGCCTTTACCAAGCACCCCGGGGGCTTTTTGTGCCCACTCAAGTTTGGGAACCACTGCCTCCAGTTTTGCCCACACAAGGGACCAGTATGTCAGGCATTTTGGAAGGACTTCGTAAGCAAGGGGCCTCCAGCCACCTATTTAAATCTGTAACTTGGAGGGAGTAGGTTCAATAAGAATGCTCTTTCTAAACACCAGAATTAATAAATGCATAAAATGGAAATAAGGGATCGCATGGATATTAAACTAGGATTACAACTTGACAGTAGATTTTTCTCTTTTGCTTATTAAGTTACTTTTTGAAAGTCTTCATCTTATTGTAGCCTGATAGGATTCCTTCAGTCAGTAACTCTCCGGTCTTCCTCTGAGCCTAGTCCCTTTACTGTTTTTGTCCCAGCCTTCCTAAGGCCCAGAGAAGTGATAGCATAGTGAGCACCTACAACCTTCTAGAAGTTACACGTGTATTTTCTCAGTTTGTCTGCATAAGCACTGTGTAGAGGGCAATACTCTTCAGTTTCCTGGGGAGAACGCTGAACTTTAGAGCTGGGGTAGTTGCCCTTTCTCTGCATTTGATGCTGTGAAGCTCTCTTGGGAGAATTCACCTTTATCACCTGATGATTGAGTTCTGACAGTCTCCTGGTGCCACATTTGCCCCAGACATTCGGATGTACACAGAACTGAGCTGTCTTCACGCTGCCCACAGCGCTGAATCGCTCCCCTTTACTAGGTTGGGAGCCCTCCGGGTCAGCAGCCTCCCTCAGACTTGCCTTTGTCCTCACGCCCCAGTCAGAGGGTTCCCTGCGCTTTCCAGGTAGAGGTTCATTGCACAATGAAGCATCCCTTAAAGACCATCCCCCTCTTGTTCATACACATCACACACAGCCAAAAACCAAGTAGCAACAGTACTTAGAATGGAATCAAAAGAAGAAAACTTGCACCCGGTGTGATTCTCCTAACATTAACCCAGGGGAGTGAAAAGTAAAGGAATATGTATCTCAGCCAGTATAATCTCAAAGGTTTTTGTCAAAAGACTGAAATCTTAGAATCATTGGGAGGAAAATTTTTCTCTGTTTTGCCAGGAGATGATCACTTTTATTTTCTTTCCTTTCAGGGGCTAGAGACATGATGAGAGCTTACTCTGACATGAGAGAAGCCAATTACAAAAATTCCGACAAATATTTTCATGCCCGGGGGAACTATGATGCTGCACAAAGGGGCCCTGGGGGTGCCTGGGCTGCTAAAGTGATCAGGTAACATAGCTGCTGGGGTTGGAAGGATGGGTGAGCTGAGCATGCCAAGCTGTGATTTCCACCCTCCCCCATGGGTGCTGGTTCCCCAGCACAAGGGGATCTGCCAGGCTGAGTTGGGCTGTACCCAGAAATGATCAGTGTTTAGCGTCTCTAAACCTGGCCTCTTGTAGATTCATTAGTTTCTTGGAAAGAGGAGAGATAGGAAGGGTGGAGGTGTTGTTCATCAGCCCCTGATTAATCTCTTACCTGCTTCCCTCCATTCCAGCGATGCCAGAGAGAATTCTCAGAGAGTCACAGACCTTTTTAAGTATGGAGACAGTGGCCACGGAGTGGAGGACTCAAAGGCTGACCAGGCTGCCAATGAATGGGGCCGGAGTGGCAAAGACCCCAACTACTTCCGACCCCCTGGCCTGCCTGACAAGTACTGAGCTTCCTCTTTGTTCTGCCCTCAGGAGTTGGGCTGTGAGTCCCCTGAGGGCAGGGACACCCAGTCACTGAGTTCTCTGTCCCCGGGGGCTGGTGGAGGACACCTAATAGGTGTCTAATAAATGCTTGAAGAGATTGACTATTGAAAAGTGTGTGTTACTCAGTCTTGGGTGTAAGGACTGCTCGTTTGTTCCCCAGGGGAGATGGATGGACACCCCCGTGCGGGCGGAGCCCGGGCCCCCGGGTTTGGTGTAGGGGGACCATCTCAGCATGACACAGGACAGACGCCCCACACCCACCCCTCCCCGATCAGACCCGCTCCCCTGTCCAGGCCCCTCTGGTTGCACGGGTGCTATTTCCAGGTCCTTCCGTGTCCAGGCCCCTCACTGCCATCCGTGGGGTCCTCTTACCTTCTCTGTCCTCAGCGTCTGGTTCCCTTTGTTTTGCTCCTCGGTGGTCTCTGTCCCTGGGGGCAGGGGACCCAGCCGTGGGAGGACGGGACTGTGGCATCCAGCTCCGGCCACTGCCACCTTAATCTTCTGTTGTTTTCTCAGCACCTCCAAATCCAATGAAAACCAATTTCTGTCCCTGCCATCTGAGGAACGGGTCCAAGGCAGTTTTTCTCCACCTTATTTGCACTGCTCTACAAAAGCTCCCGGGAACAAAACATGTCAGGAAATGGTGGCTTAGTGACATCAGCAACATCTGGCGAGTTTTGTTGTCACCTCAGTGGGGGCCTTCTTGTTCATCAACTTTGACTTGTGGCACCCAGCAAACTTTCTCTGCCAAGCAAAGGACCATGGCCACACACTTTCTAACAAGACCTTAATGGCAGCCTTGTGAGGGCCCGTCCTGAATTATCCTTCGTTTTTATCCCTTAATAGCCAATCTTCTGCAACTATATAATAATTCTTTATGTTAACCAGCCCCTCCAAATTACTGCCTGGTTTCTGTCTCCTGACTGGCCCCTCACCAATAACGGGGTCTCCAATCTGCCAGGGCGTCTAGGGTCTGCATGGGCTCTCCCCTTTGATATCCACAGCACGGCAGATAAGACCTCTCACACTGTCTCCGCCTCTCACTCTCAGCATGCTGAGGCCTCTCCAAGTGTTTTGTTGCTATTTCTAGACTTCTCTGTGTCCCCATCTCTTCACTGCCCAGTCACCTGTGTCCTGTCCCCTTCTCTGCCTCTGCGCCTTGTCCCACAGTGGCCCCTCTCCATTAGTCTTTGGGAAGCCTAATTCTGGCTTGCCAGTTCATAAAGAAGTACTTTTTTCTCTTGGACTTGAAAAGAGCAAAGGAGAGTATCAAGCTTGGTTACGCCTGCAGTCCTTGTGTTTGGGATACTTTTATTGAAGGATTGACAGGTAATAATCAGATTGCCTTATCAAATAGAAATTAGTGTAGAGAACAATAGCATCTTAGCATTTTCACATTTAAAGAAAAAGACTTAAGTACAAAATCGCTTCTATTCTGGGCAACCTCCATTCCGTTTCCCCCTCAGTTTCTTAATTTTTAATACTTCTTCAAACATTGGTTTCATTTGCAATGGTATTATAAGAAATTCATTTTATTTCTCTCACAGTCATACTCAGAAAATGTATACAGCAATGTTGGAGAAGTTGGGGTTAAAGTAAAACGTTCTATAAATGCAGATATATAAAAACAAGAAAATCCTTTATGTAATGTACTAACGCTGAGATAATCTATGCCATTTATTGAGTACTTACTGCGCGTCAGATATCATGCTAAACACTTCATAGGCATCATCTCATTTCTTCCTTACAAGTGTCTTCAGAGTAGGTGGTGTTATTCCATTTAATGGGTGAAGAAACTGAGGCACAGAGAGATTGTAATAGTTGAGTAGGCTAAACTGCTGTAGTAAATATCTCCTAATAACTCGGATACAATAGAAGTTCATTTCTTGCTCCTGTCACTCCAGGACAGGTTCCAGGTCAGTGGGAAGCTCTCTTCCGTGTGGTAATCCAGGGTTCCAAGTTTCTTCCATTTCTTTGAACTCCATCTTCCTGTGGGCTTGTGATTGAGAATGGATTGCTGTGTCCAGGGGAATGCATGTGGAAGGGGCAAACATGCTATGCCCTCTTAGGGGCCTGACCTTGTAATGCCTGACATCTCTCCTGGTCATGTTCCATTGGTGAGAATTTTATCACATGGTCTCCTTACCTGTGAAAGAGACTGGGAAATGTAAGCTATCCAGGTGTCTAGAAGGAAGGGAATGGTACGGGTGAAGAGCTTGCACGTCTCAGGCATTTTGGTGGATTAACAGCAGTCTCCATTTCACACTTGACTGAAAGTGTGTGTCATCCTCCTGTGGAAACCGGCTCTCATACTTTAGACCATGCATGCTTTTTCCACTGTATAGACCCGTTTTTGAATAATTGATTTATCAGAAGTTAACAATCACAAGTACAGATACATTTTTATATTGTCTGACTTAAAGATCTTCAAGTTTTCTAGAAACATGATCTGTAGTTATTGTTCTGCTTCAGTTCACATTTAGCAGTTAAAAGCGTAAGAAATGATTTCAGTCTTTCTCTGAGTTGAGGTAGACTGTCTTTTACATGAAATAAGAAAATTTATTTCTCCTCCAGTAGGTTCACATTATTATGTTTCACATTACTTTTTTTTTTTTTTCACGTTGTTACTTACTGGAACTTTGCAATATCTGTCTCTTATGCGATCACACCCAACCTGAAAAGAGTATGATCAGCCTGAGGGGTTGTTAACTTGTAACCAGAGCTGGCTAGAGCCAGTGGGTTGGGTACTTTGAGATGATGCAGCTGCTTGCTTGAATTTAGGGGGAGATGTTTGGCTTAGCCCCCACTCAGTTATAAAGCTTGCCCTCACATCTCCAGCTGTAAATGATGGTTGCCTTCTCTGAATTTGTTCAAGTACTTACTGCCTGACACAATCAAATAGGCGCAATAATGAAACTGGGGAAAAATGATTTTTAAAAACCATGTATCAGAAATGCAAGGTTGGGTTTTTAGAAATGATCTGAACAGGTTCCACCTTTTTGCTAATGATGTAGTTAAGGAAAACAGCTTTTGGAACTGTTCTTGGGGAATGGTCTTCAGAGCCAGTTGAAAACTACTTCAAAAAGCTCATTTTAGGGGCTCCTGGCTGGCTCAGTCGGTGGAACATGCAACTCTTGATCTCTGGATTGTAGGTTTGAGCCCCACGTTGGGTGTAGAGATTACTTAAAATCTTAAAAAAAAAAAAACCCTCAGAGGGGGAAGCCTGCTTCTCCCTCTGACCCTCCCCCCTCTCATGTGCTCTCTCTCTCATTCTCTGTCTCAAATAAATAAATAAAATCTTTAAAAAAAACAAAAACAAAAACAAAAACCTCACTGTAGATTCATGTCTGTCTGTATTATTATATATATATACTTTAAACTACAAGTAGTTTTAACTAGATCGTCACTCACACTTGGCTGTAACTGATATTTATTAAAAATAGGTGAAATTTTAACTTTATTTTGTTCAAACAGATGGGCTAGAGGGCACTGGTTCTAGGAAAAATGACAAATTTGGCCTTGATGATATATACTGTATATATACGTGTGTACATATATATATATACACAGATATATATATTCTATTGATTTAGTATATAACACATATATTCTAATATATGTTACCTTTTTTGAGGGTGATAGTGGCTTATATATTGGTTATGTGTTCTTCTCTTGTTTAAAAAATTACAATGTGCTTTGCCTCCCAATTTGAGTTTAAGGTCTTTAAAAGTAGGGATTGTGTGCCTTGTTCTTTTTTTTGTCCTTCAATGCTTAAACATTGTGCCATGCACCCAGGAGGTCCATGACTGATGATTGTTGAATGAATGTATTCATGAACTGAATATTTATAGCTATGAGATGAAAGGAAAAGGTGTGCTTTATCTTTCAGAAATGGCAAGTTCCAATCCTGCATATATGGAGATGGAAGAAGGAGACTTACCAACAAGATTAGTTATTGAATGATTCAGTTCCCTTTGACAATCCTTTGTTGATTGCTTATGCTGCCCGGTAAGTTGTCATATATGTTGTTTATATGAATAAAGCGCGTATTTGTTTGTGTCTTAATCTCTAAAGTTTTACTCAGTTGCCTTGTTATTTTTATTTCTAATAAGTGCTTAGACATGTAACCAAGTTACATCATCTCACTGAAGTTGGGGACTAACTTGTTTTTAAATGCAGATTGTATGAGAAGTTTGGAGAATCTGCCCTTCAGTCCTTAATCAGGTTTTACCCATCTGTTTTGCCTTCGGATGTCATGCAACTTTGTCATCATCATCCTGCTCAGTTTTTGGCCTATTTAGACAGTCTGGTGAAATCGAGGCCTGAAGATCAACGGTGAGAAGGCGAGAACATTTGCAGACTCCCCTTTGCTTTGATAGGGCATTGTTTGCCTTTTAGAAGCCGTTGTAACGTTTTTACTGCCAACTGCCACCGAGCTGAGGCCCCTACTATGGAAGAGGATGATTACAGTCACTACCCTTCTGTCACAGTCCACAGCACGCACTGTAAATGTGTGCAGACCACATTCTCTTCCCTCCCTCCCCCCACCCCCCCAGGGATTCTCAGATGATCAGAGTAAAATTAAAGCCCTGCTTCAGGTCCTCCGCTAAGACAGATAAGTTTCCTTGTTGTCTGGGCTGGTGAGTGGATTTATTGCCACCTCCTTGTTGATAGCATCCCAGCTTTTTGCGGGGTCTCATCTTTTTGTGGATCTCAGTTCCAGCTTTGCTGCTTTTTTAGATTGAGGCCTCATTGCCTATTTCTGCATGGCCCTTGGTTGTTGAAACTAGCAACATCCCCCCCCCCCCCCCACCACCACCACCTTTTTTCCTCTGATTGATTTACATGTGCCATACTGGCCTCCTTCCTCTCTCTGTCCCTCGTTTTTTTGGCCCTTTGACATTTTCCTTGTTATCTTGAGCTCACCTGTTCATTTAAAAGGCTGTCAGATTTTCACCTGCATTTCTAGACATCTTGTAGCAGAGCATTTTCATCTACTATTTTGATCCCCTAATAACATTTTCTTCACATTCCCACATTTTAGGTCTCTTTTCTCAGCGTGAAGATTGGTGATTTTGTCTCCAACTTTCTTTTAGGCCATCCTTCCTTGAGTCCCTTCTACAACCAGAGTCTTTGAGATTGGATTGGCTGCTTTGGGCCGTGTCCCACGATGCTCCCCCAAGCACAAGCACGATGGACAATGAAGGAAACCCCAGGTACAGAAGTTCTCTGTCTAAGCTGTGATGTTCTTCTGGAATGAAATGGCTTTATTCACATGTAGCATTCTGGGCTTTCTTCAGGAACAGCTGTGGAAGAGACTGACTCAAGTCACGATAGTAATGAGACTGAGTGTACTTCTTAGTGGTTCTGAACATTTTTGGACTTACAGATCTTACAAGAATCTGATGATTCCTCTCAGAAAAATGCATATCCCTGCACAATTTTGCACATGATTTCAGGTTAAACTGACCCCCTGAAGCTCTTTCATGGATCCACATTAAGAGTCCTTGATGATTCAATCTGTATTAGAGGGAGAAAATTGTATGTTTTTTTCCTGGAAAATTTCTAGACATAGCTTGATTTGGGACTAAGAAAAAAAACTATTCATAAAAAAATACGCACTGATACATGTAATGTATTAGAAATGTTCCTTGTGTTTTCCTCTAGGAGAAGCTTTTTAAAAGCCCCCCAAAGTGCCTATCTTATATGCCTAGACAAAAGCTCTAGAAGGACATACAATGGCTGTCTGTGAGTGATGAATGAATTATAGGCTTCTTTCCTTTGCTTTTGATTACTTAAAATGTCTATTTTTAAAAAATAAACAGGTAATCGATTTTACTGGAAAAACAGAATTGGCATAAATTAAAATTACTAATTTGAATATTGTGATTAATAACCTCAGTCAACCAGCAAAGTATTCCCAAAACTTTAAGGACATATAAGCAAGCAAGCAAGCACCAAATGTTTACAGAACCACAGAGAAATTTTAAGTACCACCGTAGACTAGTGATAAAGAAGGCGTTTAAAGAAGGTCGGTTGGGCATCTGCCTTTGGCTCAGGTCATGATCCCAGGGTCCTGGGATCGAGTCCCGCATCGGGCTCCCTGCTCGGCGGGGAGCCTGCTTCTCCCTCTGCCTGCTCTGCCTGCCCCTTGCCCTGTTTTGCGCGCGCTCTCTCTCCCTGACAAATAAATAAAGAGCATTAAAAAAAAATAGAATAAAAAATAAACAGGTATTTGTATAGGAAAAATAGCTATTTTTAATTTTTCAAAAGGCAAGTAGAAATGTTTGAAAAATACAATAGTAATGGAACAAATAAAATTAAACTCTGTTCTTACCTATTAGATGATGAATAAACATTTTGTAGAATGTATTTCCTATTCCATTTACTGAGAGCTTTTCATTTCACAGGCCTCATTCACACTTGTGTTCGTGGGGTTATAGCCAGCTGATGCTTCATCTCATTAAACTACCTGCAGATTTTACAACCAAAGAGAAAATGACTGACATCTGTAAGTCTCATGGGTAAGTGAGAATTTTTTAGAAGCTGAAGTTAAGATTAGAATCATCTTAGTTAATAGCTCTGTAGCAAAGGACTTGAGTTGGTATGCTTTATCATTTGGGAATTCTCTTTACTATGGAAAAGTACCTTTTGTTTTAAGTGATAGTAGAGTAAACATCTTTTTAAATTTTGTGCATATTTTTTCTTTGTGTAGAAGAGACGGCCCTTGCTAATTCCTCTCTCCCCCTGGTCCTTAGTAGCTACCCCAGTTCTCAGGCACTGAGGTGGTATTTAATTAAGCACCAGACTGTGTGATAAGTTACAATTGATGCAGGGTTCTCAAGAAGGGAGAGATCAGAATGTGCTCAGTAGAAGTGCTGGTGAAGGACTTCAGGAGGAGGTGAGACTTTGGAGGTGAAAGCCCTGAAGGCTGGACAGGATTTGTATTGATAAAGGAGCCCAAGAGGAGGGCAGGACAGGCGAGAGAAACGTCAGGAGCAGGAGAAACTGACATTGCTTTTTGTCTGGACCACGTATTGGTTCTTTATTGCTTGGCCGTGTTACCTTATGGCTCCACCTGGATTATCATCTTCTGGAGCTAGGGACCTGTGTCTTCCTTTTTCCTCATAATGCCTCAGTTCGTGGTAGGTACTTGATACATATTTGTTCATTGATAATAAGAGATGAGACTAGTCGGGTGTGGTGGGTGATGAGATCATGTAGGACCTTGAAAGCTCATCAGAAGAATTTAGCTATCAGTAGAGACCTTTTAGACTTTGGTACAAAAATGACATGATAAAAATGGAGCTTTCTGGAGATCATTTCTGGTGTCATACATGAGAAAGAAATGGGACATTCTGAAGGAAAATGTAGTGAGACTTAAAGACAACGGGTATAGCAAATGAAGGAGGGCGAAGAGTCAAGGAAAACTTCCATAGTTTGCATATTTGGGGGAGAAATCTGAAAGTTTATAAAGTATTTAAGGTTACATATTTCATAATTGGTGCTTGGCCTCAAATGTCAGTATTTATCTCTAGCTTTTATTCTTTTTTTTCTTAAACACTCCAGATGGGGCTGTCTAATAGAACTGTCTATGATAATGGAAATATTCTACTACATCGTCCAATATGGTAGCCACTAGCCACTTAGGCTATTGAAAGCTTGAAATATGGATTGGTCAGCTGAAGAACTTTTTACTTAATTTAAATTTAAGTAGCCACATGTGGCTAGCATCTACTCTATTGGACAGCACAGCTCCAGATAAATTCACTGTTTTGATTCCTTTCTTCCACTTGGTTCTCTAAATTAAAGTTTCTGGCCTGGATATCTTTCTCTTTGTTTGGAGCTGGAAAGAAGAAGAGAGGCCTTCACCAACATTGTGTGCCTAAATGATATGAGCCTGATGGAAGGGGACAATGGTATGTAAATCCCAACTGGTTACTCTTGGTTGTAGTATTTTAGAAGTCACTGCAGACTTTTCAATAAAGAAATTTGGTGAACATTTTGATGATCCTGTATGTAATTCTATAATTCTAGCTAGCTGTCAGATTTGTGGAGGTTTGTTTTTTTGTTGTTGTTTTTTAAGATTTGATTGGAGAGAGAGTGAGTGAGAGAGAGCAGGAGCAAGGGGAGGGGCAGAGGGAGAGCGAGAAGCAGGCTCTCCGCTGAGCAGGGAGCCCGATGCAGGACTCAATCCCAGGACCCTGGGACTATGACCCAAGCCGAAGGCAGACATTTGACCAACTGAGCCACCCAGGCGTCCTAGAGGTTTGTTTTGTTGTTGTTGTTTGTTTGTTTTGTTCGTTTATCTATACCACGTAGTATATTATGAAATCATAATAACTTTTCTATTAACGAATGCTTCCTGTGCGTTAGGCACTTTGCTAGGTCCTTTTTTGTTTGCCGTTTAAATGAGATAACAAGCCGTTGGCGTAGTTCCTGTTACTTCTGTTTTACAGAAGTCATAACTGAGGCCTAGAGGAAGGAGAGTCAGTTTCCCCAAAGCCATACCACTGGTGGAGTAGGTGTTCAGACCCAGGTCTGACTCTCTCTAAAGTTTGTGTTCAGATTCTTCTCTCAGCACTAGGCTTTTACACAGCCAAAAGTTAGATATCATCCAAATGAACTTAAAGTGGAGTGGCAGTCAGCTTTTCCTAAGCCTTCACAGGTATTTAGATAATTAAAAAAAAATTTGGGGGCGCCTGGGTGGCTCAGTCGCTAAGCGTCTGCCTTTGGCTCAGGTCATGATCCCAGGGTCCTGGGATTGAGCCCCGCATCGGGCTCCCTGCTCTGCGGGGACCCTGCTTCTCCCTCTTCCACTCCCCCTGCTTGTGTTCCTGCTCTCGCTATCGCTCTCTCTGTCAAATAAATAAATAAAATCTTTAAAAAAAAATTTTTTTTTTTAAATTTTCATCAATCCAACAAAGATAAAATGATAATCAGAAGGCCACGCTTTGACACACTGATATCTGAGGCCTGAGACTCTGTCTTGGCTGTTCTGTAGTGTTGCTTTATTCGTCTCAGTGCAAAGATGCCAAGTGCGTGACATCGGGGTCCTTTATTCAGCAGTGTGACCTACAGTCTGTTCAGCCCTGTTGGTGTAGGAGAGGGAAAGTTCGAACAGGGCAGGGAAGCCAACTGACTGGCAAGTGTTAGCTTCTGATGTCCCAACTATTGCAAAAATTACTGAGATCATCTGTTTCAGAAATGAAGAAGAGGGCCAGGTGGTTCTGCCGGACTAGAGCTGTAGACATGGATACGCTCCTGAAAAATAACCAGAATAGTTAAGATAGACATGGCTTATATTTTTCAAGTTACAACACGATGTTTATTGTAATAGATAAACACTGAAAATTCGGGAAGCATAAAGAAAATAAGTATCACGTAAAATCTTTTCTGCCCAGATAGTCTGAATATTTTGGTAAAGTAATAATAGCAGCTGTTCTTACCCTTGGTATATTAAATGGGGGTCTTTTCTAGACACTTCTGTTTCCCCATAACTCATATTAATCACTCTTCAAGGCATGTTGGTTTTACTGCCAAATGTAGATCTGTGTACTTAACTTTTGCTCCACCACCAGCTCCGGTCCTAGCTACTTGCCTAGATGGCGGCAGTAACCTCAGAATTAGTCGACTGGTTTCCATTCTCTCCCACCTTTAATCCATTTGCCCTATAGCAGCCAGAAGCGTTCTTTTACAAAAATTGGGTGATGTGGCTCTCCTCCTTGAAGCGCCTTACATGGAATTCAGAATAAAATCCAGGCCTTTGTGCACTGTAGGCCTTTCTTTGAGTTCCTTGAATTCAAGTTCTGTCCTGTCTCAAGTACCTTCCATGTTTCCTTTGTCGGAAATGCAGGCTCCTTCACCTTCCGTTCCTGACACCCTGCCACCTCAAGCTGCCCGTATGTGAGCCACAGGCACGTGCTCTCTAAGCTTGCCTGGTCTTTAAACTCTCTGCTTACCTGTCCCATCCTAATGGAGCCCTTCTCAGATCCTCCCCCAAACCTGCCATTCTCTCTAATGGTTCCCTGATCTTTTTTTTTTTTTAATACTTCATTTATTTATTAGAGAGAGAGAGCACAAGCAGGGGCAGTGGCAGGCAGAGGGAGAAGCAGGCTCCCCCCGAGCAAAGAGCCCGATGTGGGACTCGAGACCTGAGCTGAAGGCAGATGCTTAAGGACTGAGCCACCCAGGGACCCCGGTTCCCTGATTTTTATCGCACCTAGCCCAGTTTATACGTACAGATTTATTTCTGTGTTTATCTAAGGTTCTGCCCCCTTTACTAGACTGTGAGCTCCACAAGAGTGCAGGGCTCATCATGTCTGGTTGGTCCCTCACTGCACCTTGGGTACCTAGCCTAGACTATACCTGGGAAATTCCTGAGTGAGCAAGTGAATGAAAAATTTTGGAACTAATTTTGTGACTTCTCCTTATCATTATTTATTCAGCAAATGTTCAGAAAGCAACTTTGTGTTAGGATGATGAGGTACGTTCTTAGGTTTTGGTAGTAAACGTTTTCACAAGCGGTTTTGACCATCTCCTATACACAGGCAGAGTTCTAAGGGCCATTAGAGCCGACGTGTGTGTTTCTGTATGTGTGCGTAGGTTGGATCCCAGAGACTGTGGAGGAATGGAAGCTTCTGCTACATCTCGTACAGAACAAGAGCAGGAACCCCCAGAAGTCACCAAATGGAAACTTCAGTGATGGGCCTCCCCCCATCAACGTGGAGAATGTGGCACTCCTGTTAGCTAAGGCCATGGGCCCAGATCGGGCCTGGTCACTGCTACAGGAATGTGGTTTGACCCTGGAGCTGTCAGAGAGGTTTACCAGAACCTGCGATATCCTAAGGATTGCTGAGAAAAGGCAGAGGTAATACTTGTCATGCCCTTTCACGGGGGCTTGGGGAACGTAGATGCTCACAGATTTTCAGAAGGGGGGTGGGGCTTTTAGAGATCATTCAGCCCCAGCCGGTCACTAACAGCTGAGGGGGCTGAGACTCATCTGCTGATGAAGGCGATTGAGGGATGAGCCTAAAGTAACGTGTTTCACAGTCATGACCGAGACACTGTGCAGATCAGTGTGAATACCCAAAGTTGACATGTAGTAGTTCTCAAAGACAGTTACTAGTACCAAAGGTCAAATTGTCTCAGGACTTTTTTGGTTTTTGTTTTCCTCGTGGTAAAATACAGGTAACGTAACATTTACCATCTTAACCATTTTTAAGTGTTTGGTTCAGTCGTGTTAAGTATATCCGTATCATCTTGCAAAACTTCAACTTTACGCATTAAACAACTCCTCATTACCCCCTCCGTGCAGCTTCTGGCAACCACCTGTCTGCTTTCTGTCTCTAATTTTGACTGCAGTAGTCTCCCCTTATCCAAGGGGGATATGTTCCCCAAGACCCCCAGTGGAAACCTGAAACCATGGATTTACTGAACCCATATATGTACTGTGTTGTTTCCTATACGTGCATACCTATGATGAAGTTTAATTTGTAAACTAGACACAGTAAGAGATTAATAATAGCTAATAAAACAGAACAGTTAAGACAGCATACCGTAATAAAGGTTATGTGAATGTGGTCTTTCTCTCTCTCTCCATTCCTCTCTCTCTGTCTTTCAAAATATCTTACTGTACCGTACTCACCCCTCTTCTTGTGATGGTGTGAGATGAGAAAATGCCCATGTGATGAGATGAACTGAGGTGAACGACATAGGCATTATGACGTAGTGTTAGGCTATTCCTAACTTTCTGATGATATATCAGAAGGAGGATCATTTGCTTCTGGACCATGGTGGACCATGGGTATCTGAAACCATAGAAAACAAAACTGTGGATAAGGGAGGACTACTGTATTATAAGTATCTTACATAAGTGGATTCATATGGTGCTTGTCTTTTTGTGACTGGCTTTTATTTCACTTAGCATAATGTTTTCAAGGTTCATTCATATTACAGCATGTGCCAGAATTTCCTTCCCTTTTAGGGTTGAATAATACTCCATGGTGTGGATATACCACGTTTTGTTTATCCATTCATCTGTCTTATGGACACTGGGGATGCTTCTACCTCGTGGCTATTATGAGTAATGCTGCTCTGAACACGGATATACGAATGTCTCTTTGAGACCCTGCTTCTAATTCTTTTGGGTGTGTACCCAGAAGTGGAATCGCTAGAACACATGGAATTCTATTTGTAATTTTTTGAGGCGCTGTCATACTGTTTTCCATAAGGGTCGCACCATGTTCCATTCCCACGAGTAGTGCACAAGTGTACCATTTTCTCCATATTCTCACCAACACTAGTTATTTTCTTTTTGACAGTAGCCGTCCCTAATGGGCATGAGGTGAGAAGTCACTGTGGTTTTTATGTGCATTTCCCTAATGATTAATGATGTTGAGGATCTTTTCATACACTTGCTGGCTGTTTGTATATCATCTTTGGAGACCTGTCTATTCATGTCCATTGCCTATTTTTTAATTGCATTGTTTTTTTGATGTATGAATTTTTTGTATATTCTGGATATTAACCCTTTATCAGATACATGATTCACTCCATTGACCGTGTCTTTTGATGCACAGACTCAGTCAGTTTTTTGAATCCTTTCATTCTTTGTGGGTTTTAAGAAGTTTTTTATAAAGAAAAAACAATGAAAACTAAGTGCACCTGTTTCTTTTCTTTCGGATTTCAGAGCCTTGATACAAAGCATGCTTGAAAAATGTGATCGGTTTCTCTGGTCTCAGCAGGCCTAGTGGAAGAAGATTCAGCAAATGTCACAATGCTTTGAGAAAAACTGAACCATGCTCCTGAACCTCCTGAGTGCATTTGCTGTTGAAGGAAAGGTACACCTGAAAACCCTGCCACGTTACCGGGGGTACTTTAGTCAGTGTCTATAACTTCTGCATTTGTGGCTCTATCTGTGACCTCAGTGTTTCTCAACCACGGTTGAATTTTGACAGGAATCAGGCCTTGTTTGCTGAAATGAAGTGCTCTGGAATCAGAATTGGCAAGTTCACAGCCATGCAGGCCTTATTCTGAACTACAGTATTATTTTCTCCTTGCTAGTGGATTGGGGGAATTATCGTGACTCATGTAGAGAGCAGAAGTTTCTCATCCTGGTTGCATGAAGACAGATAAAATAACTGACAGGGGTAGAATTCTTTTTATATCTTATCTGGAATAGTTGAGAAAGTACTGAAATAAGACCTAGCGGAATGGAATGGGCACATTAAATAAGTGAAACACTGAAAATTCAGATGAGATATTTACATGGAATGACCCCATATTTAAATTGAGCTAATTGAAAATATATTTTCTCTCAGTATTTGACTTTTTCTAATCTGAACCTGTATGCAAATGACTGGAAAGGTTTTATCTCTAATCTTTCCTGAACAGTGGTCCAAAGGAATCATGCACTTTTTTACAAACTATTTTTTAAAAGCCATAATAAAGGAAAGCTAAGTACTAACAAACACTGTAGTAGGCGCTGTGCCAGGTACTAGAATGCCTTCCTCAGGCTCCTGTACATTTACATAGCATGTTACATTAATAATAAATGTAAAATCTGTTTTTATTTGAAGGGACCTGTATCTATTAACATAAATGAACTCAATAAACACGAGTTTATTGTGAACAATTTGCGGGAAGGTGTGGGGTAGACTCAGTGTGGAGTAAGAAAAGCGTTGGATACGTTGCATGATTCACTTCTTTTTTTCATTCGTAACACAGCCAGAGAGCTACAGACAGAAATGGCTGTCATACTTCCACATGGTATTCGGATATGATGTAACCAGAGGGGTTGAAGGAGATTGTCAGAGAAAGGAGGCTTCTCAAAGTTCCTTAGGGTTTTGGGGAGCATAGAAAACCTAACACTTCTGGTCAACAGTGGGTGTGGGGGGGGGGTGTGTGTTTGGGTGTGTGTGGTATTTCCCCTTACCAAGCAGGTCTCTGACACCAATCGGGTGACCTACAGTTCAACCCAATTCTGACACTATTGACCCAGAGGTAGCATCAGATCCCCCAGGTGAAGGGCTCAATCCCAAAAGACTGCCCTCCATTTTATTATTTTTTTAATTTAAATTCAGTTAATTAACATATAATGTGTTACTGGTTTCAGAGGTATAGGTCAGTGATTCATCAGTCTTACATAACACCCGGTGCTCATTACATCACGTGCCCCCCTTAATAATGTCCATCACCCAGTTACCCCATCCCCCCACCCCGTGCCCTCCACTTCAGACACTAATTGCAAGTCCCAGTTGTTAACTATACTTCTGACCAACTGGCTGTACATCAGAGGTCCTCACGACGCCTTCCTTGGATTTGATGGTTTGATTAATTTGCTAGAGCAGCTCCCAGAACTCAGAGAAACAGTTTGTTTAATAGATTGCCAGTTTGTTATATAAGGATATAACTCAGGAACAACCAGATAGAAGAGATGCAAAAGGCAAGATTTGGGGGAAAGCGTCAGGAGCGTCCATGCCTGCTCCAAGCTCCACCTTCTCCAAATCGCCCCATGTTCACCAGTCCGGAAGCTCTCTGAATCAAGTTCTTTGGGGTTTTTTATGCCTTCGTTACAAGAGCATGGTTGATTAAATCACTGGTCACTGGTGATCGAACTCAGTCCCTCTCTCCCTCCTGAGGTCAGGGGTGGGGCTTGGGGGGCTGGGCCTGAAAGTCCCGATCCTCTGAATCACTGGCAGCCAGCCCCCATCCTTAGGTGCCGTCCAAATGTCACCTCGTTAGTACTGCAAGGCATCTCTGTGGCATTCATCACTTAGGACATTCCAGGGGTTTTAGGAGCTCTGTACCAGAAATGGGAGGAAGACCAAATACGGACTTCTTAACCGCCAATCACAGTATCATACCTTCCCACTAGCATCACCTGGGTTTTGGCTGTAGTGGATTATGTTGAATATGAGTCTGTACTAAGGTAAGGAGCAAGACCCCTCCCTTCACTGTCCGTCAGCTTCTGTCATTACATAATGACTGTCCAGAAGAGGGCCCAGAAGAAATCTCAGGAGAAGAACACAGCCTGAACTGGCCCAATTGTGCGATCATTTCCTGACGGATTGTTTTAAGGCATCTTACGGCAATCCTCATTTGCCAAAGGGGCACAGAGAAATTTCTAGCATTAAAAAAGGAATAAAAATCACATTATCTGAATTTATTTTCCAAAGTAAACCAAGCAAGCAGCAAAAATCCCCTTCGGTGAAACACTGAAGTTTGAACAGTCAAGTTGGATATTAGGCAGTGTTTTCCAATACAACTTGTATCTTTTACTGGCCTAAAACTTACAGACAGTGATTCATGGTGGCCTCACTTTCAACAGGCTGCAGGGTAGCGTAGTGGCTAAGAGCTTGGTGCTGAGGAAGGCTGTCTAGCTTTGAATGCTGCTCTGTCTCCTTATAAATGACTGTGGGGAAGTTACTTTTTTCTCTGTGTCCGTTTTCTCTTCTAAACAATGGGGACGGTAGTAGCACTCAGGATGTTTTGAGAAGTGACGGAGGTCATGAATGTGATGAATGTGAAGCACGGAGCAGGCGCCTGGCACAGAGTACAGGGAGAGCCATCTCTTGGTGACACATGAGACTAAAGTGCAGGGCAGTAGAGCTTGTGACGCTGCCCAGGAACACGTGTTAGCTGTTGTGTGAGAGGATTAGAAGATCCTTGCACCCAGAAGTGATCAGACCCGGGTAAGCTGGTTCTTACGAACCCGGGAGAGTGGGAGCACCAAAACTGCAGGTACGAATGTCCTTGTATGTGTTAAATGTCCCTTCCTGCCCAAGGCTCCAAACCTTGTGATCGTCCTTGCCTCTCCCCTCCTCAACCCTCACATGCCACCGCTAGGGAAATCCTCTCAGTTCTGTGTTGGTGGTGGTTTCCACTGGTCATTCCCCGTCCGCCCTCCCCCGCACCCCCTCGCCATCTCTCTTGCTGCCAGTCCACGTTCTCATTTCTTCTTGCCTGCCTAGACAGTCGGAGCAGTCTTAGTGACCTTTCTTTCTTCACTTGTAAACACTGCCTTCCCCCCGCCCCCCGCCACCACCACTCAGTCTCAGCTCCCTAAAATACAAGCACCTAGGCATCACCCAGGGCAGGTGATTCACAGCCCTGCCACACATTAGAGTCAGCACAGGAGCTTGTGAAAAATACTGAGTCGGGGATCCTGCCCCAGGCCTGGGATCTGTAGATCAAGGGTCTAATACAATCCTCAGCCGGCCTCCTACCCCCACATTGTTCCTAGATTTAGATAGAGAGTGACCCTGGTTTACGGATAAACCCGTCTTGGTCTCATGGGAAGTTAATGAGCGGTCCACTACCAGAGTTCTTGTCCTTTTGAGGCACAGCCTTAGTCACACCTCTTCCCAATCAGAAACTTTCGGTGGCTCCCTTCTGCTTTCAGAATAAAGCCCAAATCCTTGAGCTTGTCATTGAAGGCCCTCTCTGACTTGTTTCCAAATTCAGTTCCTCAGTTCGAGAGTTTGTCTCTCATCCTGGATTCTCTGTTTCGTGGATACGCTCTGCATGTGGGCCTCTGCTTGGGCCCCTGCTTAAACCCTGAAGTGTCCTTCGCCCCAGTCCCCTACCTGCTAAATCCCACTGGGGTTCTGTGCCTTCAGATTCCACATGTCAATTTGGGTTATTTTACAGATAACATAAACAAGGGGCTGAAATCTCTCTTTGCGCCAGGAAACAGTAACTTCAGAGTGGGGTCAGAGCTTTTCCTACCCCTTCATTTAGAAGAAATCTGCATACCCCTAAACTTCCTGAATAACACTACAGAGTTGGAACCCAGTGCTGCTGTGTGGAGTCTGGAGTTTCCAGTCAGCCCTGGTCTAATGGATCAAATACAGATCACAGAAGCAGCCTGGAAAAATTCCTACTTGGTAATTCTTTCCAGAGGGCTTAGAAAAATACAGACTGGCACCACTGTGTCCTAAGTACAGAGAATGTTTTCCCAGATAGTGTTTTTCCCATCTTGCCCAAGTAATACATTTTTCCAGATGGGCAACTCTGAATCAATGTGAATATTCAAACTGATGTTTCCCTCTAGTGATGTGGGCAATATTTATACCCGTTATCCATAGGTAAAGCCTGGGTTTAGTGACTTAGTGTCAGGTTTGTTTGTTTTGTTTAAGTGGGTTTTTTTTAAGATTTTATTTATGTATATATTTGAGAGAGAGAGAGCACAAGCAGAGGGAGAGGGAGAAGCAGGCTCCTTGCTGAGCAGGAAGCCCGATGCGGGACTTGATCCCAGGACCCTGGGCTCATGACGTGAGCCGAAGGCAGACGCTTAACCGACTGAGCCACCCAGGCATCCCACCACCATCTTGGAATTTTTAATAATTTCTGAACAAGGATCTCCACATTTTTATTTTGCATTGGGACCCACATGTTAAGTAACTGGCTCCGGCTGCCACAGGAGATCTGAGGTGGAGCCTAACATTTTACGTTTCCAACAGGTTTCCAGGTGATGCTTCCTTGGATCACCCTCTGGGTAGCAAGGCTCAGTCTAAAGTCTGGTAAAGCAGCAACTTGGAAGGAGCCAAGGCCCCTGGCAAGTGGATTACTTGCCACATTAAGCGAAACATAAATTTTTGTATTCCTTAAACTTCTGAATTTTTTTTTAAAAGATTTTATTTATTTGACAGAGACACAGTGAGAGAGAGAACCCAAGCAGGGGGAGTGGGAGAGAGAGAAGCAGACTCCCCGCTGAGCAAGGACGCCTGACATGGGGCTCATCCCAGGACCCTGGGATCCTGACCTGAGCTGAAGGCAGACGCTTAATGACTGAGCCACCCAGGCGCCCAAGCCTCTGAATTTTTGTTACAAGTGAGCTTTACTCTAATTAAAGGAAGTGAAGTAGAGCCAGTCACAGCTGGTTCTGTCCTCAGTTTATTTAGGCTTAAATAATTTTGGAGAAAGCCTTCTGTGAAGTGTGCCTCCGACTGTCTCAAACACCAGCTCAGGCTCTCTGGTTGCCCCCCTCCAGTGCTAGCGGGTGCCCGACTGGAACAGCCTTTATGACCTTGGGGACTGTGGAGGAGAAGCAGCCAAAGCAGTGCAGCCCAGGCTGGCCCGAGTTCAGCTTCGATGTTTGGAGGCAAGCCCGAGCCAACAAAAACTTGCTTCCTACTGCCCTTGAAACTTTGCCCCACTGGGGACCTTGTGGCTCAGATATTCCTTGGATCCCCTAACCACGTAGATTTAATCTGTTATTCAAGTCAAGGTCCTTGTATGAAAAGTACTGAAGGATCCTCAATCTCTAACCTCCAGGCAGCCCTCCAACTATAACCTGGGGTACAGGGGAGAATGGCACGTCCACACTTACCCAATAGTGAGATCCACAGGGCCCAGGGCCCATACAGATGGTGGCCCAAATGCCAGGCAGAGTCCAAGCTGTGAACAGGCTGGGGCTTTCTATGCACCCTTGCTGCTAACCTGCCCACAAACCGGGCTAGGTCTTGCCTAGACCAGAAACATTTCCGTTTCTCCCCGAAACGATTCTGTCAGCAGTGGAGGCTTTTCTCTGCCTGGCTTATTAACTGTAAGTCTCCATCAGAGAACTGGGGAGTCTTACTATTATTTATTAATACTGCCCAAGGAAGTAGTGGTGTAGCTTAAGGGAGGAGCCTCAAGTCGGCCTGCCTGTGTTCCGATCCTGGCTTTACCACTCATATCTGTGACCTTGAGCAACTTACTCAATCTCTTTGTCCCCCCGTGTCCTCATCTGAAAAAACATCTACACCATAGAGTTGTGGCCGACTGGGACTAGAATTAGAGCTCAATAAATATTAGCCATTATGACTTGTACTATTATTCAGATATTCTTCTGGCCAATCCCCGTAATCCTGGTTTTTGTTTTTTAACCAAAACATAGTTTTATTTCACACTAAACATAGCAAGAGTTTTGCTTTTCTTTTTTTCATATGGAGATGGTAATATTTTTTAGAAAATTCCCTGTGCATAAGATAAACAACAGATTCTTTTGTTGTCTTATCAAGATAATACTAAACAATTTTTTTTTTTTTTTTTTTTTAGAGACAGACAGAGATAGTGAGAAGAGAGCATGAGCAGGGAGGAGAGAGAAGCAGGCTCCCACTGAGCCAGGAGCCCGATGGTGGGACTCGAACCCAGGACCCTGGGATCATGACCTGAGCTGAAGGCAGATGCTTAAGCGACTGAGCCACCCAGGTGTCCCAATACTAAACAATTTTTAAAAACTCCCGTGTGTAACATGGATATTATCTGAAATGACTGCCTAGTGTTCCATTTTATGTGTGCGATGCACATTGTTTGATGAATGTTCTCTCCTTTTCCCCCCCTGGACCCTAGTCTGTTACTTACATTTTTTTCCTCATAACAATTTTTTAGTTGAGATACAATTCACATACCATAAAATTCACCCTAAGTACTCAGTTCAAGGGTTCCTATATAGTCACAAGGTTGTGCAGTCTTCACCTCTGTGCAATTCCAGAACTTTTCCATCATGCCAAAAAGAAACTTCATACTCTTAGCAGTCACTCCCTATTAACCCTCCTTCTAGGCCATGGCAGCCACTAATCTTTCTGTCTCTGGGCTTGTCATTTCTGGACATTTCATACAAATAAAATCACATAATATATTGCCTTTTGTGTCTGGCTTTTATTTAATGTTTTCAAGCCTACATTTCATCCATGTAGCATGTATTAGTACTTTATTCCTATTATGGCTGAATACCATTCCATTGTATGAATATACCACATTTTGTTTAAACACTCATTAATTGATAAATACTTGAGTTGCTTCCACTTCTTGGATATTTTGAATAATGCTGCTACTTCCATCATGGAAGGGACAATGCTTTTCCGTAATGGAACAGACACAATGAAAACAGATTTGTCTCCCCAGCATGCAATGCTTCTGCCGAAGTCTGGACTTACAGAATGCCTTATCCACCATCATGGTATTTCTTTTACACAGTATTACTCCTGACTAAGGAACTAATTTTGCAACAAATGAAACGTGGCAGTGGGGCTATCCTCATGGAATTCACTGGTTTAGCCATGTTCCCTATTATCTTGAAGTAGCTGGCTGGATAGACTGCTAGAGTAACCTTTTGAAGACTCAGCTACAGTACTAGCTAGATAGCAACACCTTGCAGGGATAAGGCAGTGCCTCCCTCCCCATATGATATGTGCTTTAAATCGGTGTCCAATATATGGTACTGTTTCTCCCGTAGCCACAATTCATGAGTCCAGGCATGAAGGCAAGGAAGTGTTAGTGCCTTCTCTCACTATTAGCCCTACTGATCCACTAATGTGAGAGCCAGACCCATCCAACCAGCCTCACAGAGGGAGCTGTGAGGGCTTAGTTCAGCCTAGCCAAGTTGACATAAGTCATCACTGGGAGTCATAATTTTTATTTCTAATGAGAAAGCTTGCAAAGTATTGCCAGAGAAAATTATTTTTTCTATGATAAAGTGAGATTATGTCAGTTTAGATGGTACTTTTTAGAGATTTTGCTATAGATTTGGATATTCATCTTTAAGAGAAACATTACCACATTCTGCAGACCAAAACCTGTATCAAATATCAAATATCCTCCACAAGTCCCGAACGCTGCTCCCAGGCCCGTCATCCTCTGCAGACTACTTTTCTTCCTGTTTCATTCATTCACTCAGTGTTTACTGAGCATCTACTATGTGCCAGGAGCTGTGGTAGGTACTCCGCATAACGAGGATGACATACAACAAAGTAGACCTGCTTTTTGCCCTTCGTGATGGGTCCTGGGGACAATAATGTACGATAGCAGGTACACGTGAACTCCCTCAGGTTCCTCGTCCTCCCTCTCAAATGTTCTGCACCTCCTGACTGCATTCTCTTTACCTTCCTTTCTCAGGAGCAACTCCTTCCTCCTTTTCAGGTTAACCCATCATCTGTGACCTTGACCTCATCCCCTGCTTTTGACTAATTAGTTAAAAAATAAATTATTCAACCATTCGTTCATTTAAGTCTTGAGGTTCTATTATGTACCAGATACTTGGCTTAGTGCCAGATATTTAAAGCTAAATAAGGCAGAAATTGTTACAGCCTAGGATGGAAGATGGGGACCAAGAAAACAAAAACAAAACAGTAACAGAAAAATGGAAACCAAGAAGTGAAAAAGAACATCCTGCATATTAGTAATAGGAAGGAAAGAATAGGCACGGTAGGCAACTCCGAGCAGCCAGAGAAGGCCTCTCTGAAGAGCGATTTCACGTGAGACACACAGGATGAGAAGGAAGCAGCCATGTGAAGAGCAGATGGATCCAGTGTTCTAGGCAAACACACTGTGGCAAATTGGAGCTTGACTTGTTGGTGGGACTGAGGGAAGACTGGCTGGAGAGCCATGGAGGTGTGATATAATGAAGGAGCACGTGATATCATGAAGGCAATTGAGAGCATCTTTCAAGAAAGCGGGGGAAGGCAGGTGTGCTGAACGTCGCTCAGAGGCCTACTGGGACAAGGAGGGATATGTCACTTGCTTGGGGCAACACGGAGGTCCTCGGTGGACAAGAGTTGCATTGCTGGAGTGCTGGGGACGGGCCAGGCTGGAGCGGATTCAGGTGTGAGTCAGAAGGGAGGAATCGTGTAGATGGGTGGCTCTTTCAACAAGTCAGACTGGTAGGAGGAAGAGGAAAAGGTGCGAGAGTTGAGTGAGGCGGGCTGAGTCCGGGTGTCGGATGTGGTCATTTCCCGGGGAAGTCGTTGATGAGTGCCTGGACCGTGCGAGGCGGAGCGCCTCCAGGGATGTGCAGGACGTGGTGCCTGTCCTTAAGCACGGCGGGCACCTCCCGATTGATTGTAAGTGCTCTCCTGGCCGTTTGCCCCTAGCGCCGGAGGTTCGGGAAGGAGAGAGAGGCCCCCTGCTGAAGCTCTTGGCCTTGTAGAGCACACCCCAGGTCCTGGAGGCAGACCATCAGCCTGCGGTCCTGGCTCTGCTCCCATTCCGTGTGCCACCCCGGACATGGTCCTAATCGTGTCCCTCTCCAGCTGAGAACTGCAAAGACTCTGTGGCTTACATCAGATAAGGTCCATACAGTGTAGAGCACAGTTTGGCATCTGCAAACAAAGAAAATGGCAGCTACTCTAATTAATTCATATACGCCAGCCTTCCACACCCCAGCAGAGCTGGGATTGCCTCCAATGTGGGCCTCGGTGCAGCTTCGTACTAAATTGCGTTGTGTCTACGTACATATCTGGCTTCCTCTCTAGAACAGTAGACCTTGTCAAAAGAAAAGTCATGTAGAAAATAGAATGAATTTTTTATGATTTTGTTTTTTGTTTTTTTTTTATGATTTTGTTTGCATGTGAGTTAGAGGAGTTATCTTAGGCTTGAAATCTATCAGGGGAGCTGACACGTGAAAGGAACAGAGGGGATGAGGTGAAGATGAGCCAGCAGGTGCAAATGAAAATTCTGTGAGAGCCCCAAACTCTGTCCCAGAATGTAGTGCTGGGGCTACTAGGAAGGTTGTTTGAGGAAGTAGGACTTCTTTCGGGATCTGAGTTCAAGGACAGTAGGAATAAAGATGAGAGAAACTACTGTGAGAGCCATTCCTCAGGTAGGAGCAAAAGGAACTGATTAAAAATGTCATCAGGGGGACGCCTGGGTGGCTCAGTCAGTTAAGCGTCTGCCTTCGGCTCGGGTCATGATCCCAGGGTCCTGGGATCGAGCCCCGCATCGGGCTCCCTGCTCAGCGGGAAGCCTGCTTCTCCCTCTCCCCCTCCCCCTGCTTGTGTTCCCTCTCTCGCTGTGTCTCTCTCTGTCAAATAAATAAATAAAATCTTTTAAAAATATATAAAAATGTCAGCAGGGACAGGGGCTGGTGTTGGGGAGGCCAAGACATCAGATGCCAGAACCCCTGGGATTAGGCTTCCCAAAGACTAATGGAGAGGGGCCACTGAGGGACAAGGCACAGAGGCAGAGAAGGGGACAGGACACAGGTGACTGGGCAGTGAACAGATGGGGACAAAGAGAAGTCTAGAAATAGCAACAAAACACTTGGAGAGGCCTCAGCATGCTGAGAGTAAGAGGCGGAGACAGTGTGAGAGGTCTTATCTGCCGTGCTGTGGGTATCAAACGGGAGAGCCCATGCAGACCCTAGACGCCCTGGCAGACTGGAGACCCCGTTATTGGTGAGGGGCCAGTCAGGAGACAGAAACCAGGCAGTAATTTGGAGGGGCTGGTTAACATAAAGAATTATTATATAGTTGCAGAAGATTGGCTACTAAGGGATAAAAACGAAGGATAATTCAGGACGGGCCCTCACAAGGCTGCCATTAAGGTCTTGTTAGAAAGTGTGTGGCCATGGTCCTTTGCTTGGCAGAGAAAGTTTGCTGGGTGCCACAAGTCAAAGTTGATGAACAAGAAGGCCCCCACTGAGGTGACAACAAAACTCGCCAGATGTTGCTGATGTCACTAAGCCACCATTTCCTGACATGTTTTGTTCCCGGGAGCTTTTGTAGAGCAGTGCAAATAAGGTGGAGAAAAACTGCCTTGGACCCGTTCCTCAGATGGCAGGGACGGAAATTGGTTTTCATTGGATTTGGAGGTGCTGAGAAAACAACAGAAGATTAAGGTGGCAGTGGCCGGAGCTGGATGCCACAGTCCCGTCCTCCCACGGCTGGGTCCCCTGCCCCCAGGGACAGAGACCACCGAGGAGCAAAACAAAGGGAACCAGACGCTGAGGACAGAGAAGGTAAGAGGACCCCACGGATGGCAGTGAGGGGCCTGGACACAGAAGGACGTGGAAACAGCACCCGTGCAACCAGAGGGGCCTGGACAGGGGAGCGAGTCTGATCGGGGAGGGGTGGGTGCGGGGCGTCTGTCCTGTGTCATGCTGAGATGGTCCCCCTACACAAAACCCGGGGGCCCGGGCTCCGCCCACACGGGGGTGTCCATCCATCTCCCCTGGGGAACAAACGAGCAGTCCTTACACCCAAAACTAAGTAACACACATTTTTCAACAGTCAATCTCTTCAAGCATTTATTAGACACCTATTGGGTGTCCTCCACCAGCCTCCGGGGACAGAGAACTCAGTGACTGGGTGTCCCTGCTCTCAGGGGACTCACAGCCCAACTCCTGAGGGCAGAACAAAGAGGAAGCTCAGTACTTGTCAGGCAGGCCAGGGGGTCGGAAGTGGTTGGGGTCCTTGCCACTCCGGCCCCATTCATTGGCAGCCTGGTCAGCCTTTGAGTCCTCCACTCCGTGGCCGCTGTCTCCAAACTTAAAAAGGTCTGTGACTCTCTGAGAATTCTCTCTGGCATCGCTAGAATAGAGGAAAGCAGGTAAGAGATTAATCAGGGGCTGATGAACAACACCTCCACCCTTCCTATCTCTCCTCTTTCCAAGAAACTAATGAATCTACAAGAAGCCAAGTTTAGAGATGCTAAAACACTGATCATTTCTGGGTACAGCCAAACTCAGCCTGGCAGATCCCCTTGTGCTGGGGAACCAGCACCCATGGGGGAGGGTAGAAATCACAGCTTGGCATGCTCAGCTCACCCATCCCTCCAAACCCAGGAGCTATGTTACCTGATCACTTTAGCAGCCCAGACACCCCCAGGGCCCCTTTGTGCAGCATCATAGTTTCCCCGGGCATGGAAATATTTGTCTGAATTTTTGTAATTGGCTTCTCTCATGTCAGAGTAAGCTCTCAACATGTCTCTAGCCCCTGGAAAGGAAAGAAAATGAAAGTGATCATCTCTTGGCAAAATAGAGAAAAGTTTTCCTCCCAATGATTCTAAGATTTCAGCCTTTTGACAAAAACCTTTGAGATTATACTGGCTGAGATACATATTCCTTTACTTTTCACTCCCCTGGGTTAATGTTAGGAGAATCACACCGGGTGCAAGTTTTATTCTCTTTGATTCCATTCTAAGTACTGTTGCTACTTGGTTTTTGGCTGTGTGTAATGTGTATGAACAAGAGGGGGATGGTCTTTAAGGGATGCTTCGTTGTGCAATGAACCTCTACCTGGAAAGGGCAGGGAACCCTCTGACTGGGGCGTGAGGACAAAGGCAAGTCTGAGGGAGGCTGCTGACCCAGAGGGCTCCCAACCTAGTCAAGGGGAGCGATTCAGCGCTGTGGGCAGCGTGAAGACAGCTCAGTTCTGTGTACATCCGAATGTCTGGGGCATATGTGGCACCAGGAGACTGTCAGAACTCAATCATCAGGTGATAAAGGTGAATTCTCCCAAGAGAGCTTCACAGAAACGGGGTCATCAAATGCAGAGAAAGGGAAACTACCCCAGCTCTAAAGTTCAGCGTTCTCCCCAAGAAACTGAAGAGTATTGCCCTCTACACAGTGGTTATGCAGACAAACTGAGAAAATACACATGTAACTTCTAGAAGGTTGTAGGTGCTCACTATGCTATCACTTCTCTGGGCCTTAGGAAGGCTGGGACAAAAACAGTAAAGGGACTAGGCTCAGAGGAAGATCAGAGAGTTACTGACTGAAGGAATCTGATCAGGCTACAAGAAGATGAAGACTTTCAAAAAGTAACTTAATAAGCAAAAGAGAAAAATCTACTGTCAAGTTGTAATCCTAGTTTAATATCCATGCGATCCCTTATGTCCATTTTATGCATTTATTATTTCTGGTGTTTAGAAAGAGCATTCTTACTGTCCTACTCCCTCCAAGTTACAGATTTAAATAGATGGCTGGAGGCCCCTTGCTTACGAAGTCCTTCCAAAATGCCTGACATACTGGTCCCTTGTGGGGGCAAAACTGGAGGCAGTGGTTCCCAAGCTTGAGTGGGCACAAAAAGCCCCCGGGGTGCTTGGTAAAGGCCAGATTTCAGGCTCAGCCCCAAAATGATGATTCAGCAGAGGGGGGTGTGTGCTCCCAGCATCTGCATTTCACAAAGCACCCCAAGCCCCAGGCGATTCTCATGCACGCGGTCCTAGAACAACCCTTTGAAAAACCTTGACCTAAAGATGGAAACACATTTGTAGTGGTGCCTGTGAGAATTTAGAAAGGAGTGACAGCAAACTCTTAAAACAGTCATCAGTGACTCTCACAGAAAAAGAAAAAGAAAAGAAATGATTTTGTGAAATACACAAATCTTGCCGCTGAGTCTGACTACTGAGGCGCATGTCTCTTGCTCTCCTGCGCAGCCAGGTCTCAGGCCCGCAGAACCAGCATCATGGAATCCTTGTGCCTTTCGTTGCGGGGAGAGGAGCTCTGCAGAGTGGCCTTGCGCCTCTCCCACAGCCTGACTCTCTGCCATTCACTCAGATAAACAAGAGGGTTGTGTGTTCCCAAACCCCGCAGTCGGCCATGCGCTCTCTGCTGTGGGAGGCAGGACAGTCCTGTCCTAGCAAAGTCTGGGGGGGCTCCACCACTGGGGTGAACCCTGCTCTGCTTGAGGACTTTGTCAGACGCTTCATCTCTTTGTGCCTCAGGTTCTCTGTTAAGGGATGATGGTGCCTACATCGCAGGATCACAGATTAAAACCTGAGGATGAAAACCAGTTCATCCATCCACGTGAAGCTCTTAGAACAGTGCCTAGCACGGGCCAAGCTCCGTTCATCTTGGATGGGATGACTAAGTGCACAAGTTTGAGGCACCCCTTCCTGGCTGCCTGAGACCCAGCCATGAGCTGTCCCTGCCTTCCCACTAGGCGGCACTCGACTCCCACTTGTAGGAAGGGAGCCGGCACCCTGGACCCCACATCTATCTCTTCCTGCTCCTGCTGCAAGTTGAGGCCCAAACTTTATGTGACCTCCAGCCTGGGGATCTCCATGGAAGAGTGCACTGCCGCCCAGAAAAGCCAGGGGTGGAAGGATAGGACACCTGTGGTTTAAGGGGAAAAGCCACACGCAGTAAGTAAGCCCTAGAGACTTAAGGCACAGTATAATGAGCACCAAACAATATTGTATCATAATTATCAAACGTGCTATAGCCTAGAATTGAAGTATTTCAATGACTAAAAGGAAAGGGAAATTATGTAACATGAGACAGGTGCTAATTATAGCTACAAAGGCAATCAGATTGAATATAGGAATGCATCAAATTAACACGACATACACCTTAAACATACACGATGTTATATGTCAGATACAGTTCAGTTAAAAAATCAAGAAATAGAAAGCCTGGGAAACTGCTATCTTGAAAACCATGCTTCTTCGCGTCCCACTTGCGGCTTTTGCCCTGTGTGGATGTGGCCTCTGCTCTGGGGAATCCTGGAGGGAGGCCAGGTGCGGCCTCCGCCGACCCCCACGCTTTGGGCCTTACCTTGACCAGCTTCCCTGAGGAAGGTTAACCAGCTTTGGCTGCTGACGCCCAGGACCAGGGAGCACAAGAGGATGCCCAGGAAAAGCTTCATCCTGCTGCAGAGTCAAAGAGACACACAAAGATGATAGGTGTTTAGTTTTGCTTTGGATTGGTTTTTTCGGGGAGTAATGTTGACCCGTTCTTGTATTCCAAAACTAAGCCACACTCAATAGTATCTATATCTGTAGATCTCCACACACATACACACACACACATATTGTACATATATACCCGTGTATGTACATATATGTGTATGTATTATATGTAGAAAGAAGTAGACAGTGCGTATACATATATTAGGCAGGTGATACGCAGATACATAGACAGAATTCCAGAGGGTCCACATGTCCATTTCCACTTGCCTCATTGGAATCCCAGTATGAGAGATTACACTGCGCTTCTAATATAAACCACTTTCCCTTTCAGGCATCACCTGTGAGCCCTGACACCCACTGTACAGAAAGCTTCCAAAGAAGCATCTGGGCATTTTGTGACCATATACCAGTCTGTCGAATGAGATGAGTGAAACAATGCACAAACCTTTGCAGAATGCCTGCTCTACCCATCCCTGAACTCTCACCGAGGAAGTGCACGACTAAATCCCAGTCCCAGAAAGTATTCACATCTGCTGAATCCTAATTGTCAGGCTAGGAGATGCAGGAAGGAAGCAGAGAGCTGGGACACAGCGCAGGAATGCCGTGGGGAACGGGAGTCTGCAAAGAGAAATCGTGTTGGAAAGTTCTAGTACCTCACCTTTGGCTGTTGCTTCCCAAGGAGGCTCCTGGTGAAGCTGAGCTGCCTGCCCCTCCTGCCTGCTAAGGGTGCCCACAGTATATATACTGACGCTTTGCTAGGGGAATGAAGGGGAAGCCAGGTTTGAAGCAAAACACTGAGATTTGGGAAATTCCCCTTGGCCAGAACACAGCATCCAGAACATCAGGTTTTTTCTTGGTACCCATCTAATTTCCAGCTTGCAGTTGTGCAACCTGGCAGCTTCCAGGAATGTAGCAAACGTGGGGTTTTCTGCCTGTTTTCAGTCTCACTCCTGGTGAGGAAAGGGTTCCTTCATCACAGAGTAATCTATTGACAATGGGTGTGAAGAGTAATCAATATTAGAAAAGGGAATTGATTGTCTAAAGGATGAGACCATAGAAGGCCAATGGAAGAGCAAACAGTCTCCATTGAAGGAAAAGATAAGGATAAAGCTGGGACGCCAGGGAGCAGGAGAAGGACTGGAAGGACCAACAACCAGGAAAATAAAGCTTCCAGCACCCAGTGGGGTGGCCTGGACGCTGGAAAAGGGAGTCCTTCAGACTGGAGTGTATTCATGATCAATTGCTGGGGGAGCTCCTAATGGCAGGCTTTAATGGAGGACACGCTGGTCCAGGAACATTGAATTTCTTTGTAGACATTTGCTACAGTGTCACGGAGAAATGGTCCATCCTCAAAATGATCAGAAAATCGCCCACTGGCTGCTAAATTATGAGAATAGAAGATTCAGGAGAAAGTTGGATGCCCGACAAGAACATACGGAACAACTGTTTCAGCTGGAAAAGCAGGACTGGGCTTTACTATGTGAGTTTAGGAGGATTATGGTGGGAAGAAATTGCATGCAGACGGTATCAGTGGGATGGAGGCCCTCGTCCACTCACCTACCCCTTCCTTGCCCCTGTGTGTGAAAGGGGAAGTTTAGAGGTCATCGGATTTCCCTGGAGAAGAGAGGATGGTGCGTGTGTGATGTGGTAGCAATGATGGGGGGTCCAGAGGACTGACCTGGTCCGTGTCACAGTGGGGTCCCGGGCTGGAAACCTACGGATGTAGGGCCAGGACGGCCCAGCCCAGGGAGTGCTAGCTCAGGGGTGTGGCCTGGGGTGCATCCTGGAGACAAGCAAAATGAGCAGGCATTTCAGATGCAAGACAAGTGCCTCCAGGGCTGATGCAAGCAAATCATGGAGACTGGACAGCCCAGAGGTTGGAAGATGCTAAGTAGTAGCCAGGAAGGAGGTAGGACTCGAGCTCCACCAGGAACCCAGAGCAGAAACAGGAGGCGGACTTCTGATTTGTCACAAGACTAGAGGAGTTATGGGTAGGACACTGCAAAGGGGAGGCTGACCCAGGATGAAGCCAATCAGGCAAGGATTCCACTAGTGGGAGGGAATCACCGTCTTAGGTTGGAGCCTGCCAGCACTAGGAGTGATGCCTCTTGCTGGGTCTGGGTCTTATTTGAATAACTGTAGGTACAACGAGATGAGAGGTGTAGGGCAGACAACTGTCAAAGTTCCCTCTGTCCCTGTGGTTCTTATCCAGGGCAATGCTGAGCAGCATTTGGACATTCCCCACACAAATCATTCCCTGGGAAAGGTGGGGTCACTGAGGTCTGCCCAGTCTGGGACCCTGAGCTGCTTTGGCTCCCTTGGTCCTAGGAGTAGACATGTGGGGAGAAGGGCAAGTGTCAACCCTCCAGAGCCAGTGGTGAAAGGGAGTTTGGGGGCTGCTTCCCAGGGGAGGCCATGTGATGCCCATCCCCCTCCTCCCAGGCTCCCCAGGGCAGAACTCCTGGGCCAGTGATCCCATCCTGTGACAATTCTTTTACTCCCTTGGGGCCATTTCGTGCTGGAAAGCCCTCCCCACTTTCAGACAGCATTCCAGTCATTCCCTTCTTTGATGGAAACATTACAGAGAGCGCACAAGAACACTTTCTAGACCCACGAGGAACTCCTCACAGGGGCTTGGGCAAGCAAGGCTTGGTCTCTTCCTTTGTTCCGTCATGTAGTCTCTCTTTCTGGAAGAGACACTCAGCTCCCTGCAGGGCCAAACTTAGAACAATAAACAGGAGGGACAGGGAGCGATTTCCCTTGTGTCTCCTGCCAAAGAAAGATGTTGGCATGGTGGTATCAGATCTCCAGGCTTTGGAAAGATCTCCCGAAGTCTGCCATGAGTCGCTGTGTCCCGGACTCCAGAGACTGTGTCTGTTGGGCCTATTGTGCCAACTTTGTTAGTAGTGAGAAGCCCTTTCCCTCTCAGAAGTGACCTGGTTTCCAGAAGACCTGAGATGGTCCCCCTCCTCTAATAGCCCCATGTGACCAGGCTGTGGAGAGGCCTCAGAGAACTCCCTTTTCTCTGTTACATGAATTTAAGTGGATGAGAGGAACACCAAGCCTATGAAGAGCCAGAAACCAAAGTTAGAAAAGAAGCCCCACAGGGTACCGTGATCAAGCGAGGATGGGAGGCCTAGGGCCCAGACTCAGAGGGCCAGCAGAAAGAATGATCAACAGTTTTACGAATTTCAAATGAGAAGAATAACGTTACCTACCTGCGAGATTCACATGTATAAGAAAGAAAAATTTGGTCATTCAAATGATGCAAATATGTTCTGAGCACTTGGAAAGTACTTAATACACTGAACTCTTCTGGCTTAGCCAAGACAACTCATAGCACTTTATACATTGCGGGAGACAGGAAGATTATTTAATAAATTGTTACGGAGGCCACACATCATGAACACTTGAATAAGTAAGATTACCAAGCAAAGTTCTATCTTTAAAGATCCTGGTTTAGGGGCTCCCGGGTGGCTCAGTCGGTTGGGCAGCTGCCTTCAGCTCAGGTCATGGTCGCGGGGTCCTGGATGGAGCCCCTCATTGGGCTCTCTGCTGGGCGGGGAGCCTGCTTCTCCGTCTCCCTCTGCCTGCAGTTCTGCCTACTGTGCTCTCTCTCTGTCAAATAAATAAATAAAATCTTTTAAAAATTAAAAAACAAAATAAAGATCCCGGTTGAAATTTTCAGGACACAGCAGCCTTCTTTCACATGTTTGAAAAGTGTTATTTCTGGGTGTCTCTGAAGATCCCTTTGTTAGAAAGAACTGTGGGGGGGCACCTGCTTGGCTCAGTCGTTAAGCGTCTGCCTTCGGCTCAGGTCGTGATCCCAGGGTCCTGGGATCCAGCCCCACATCGGGCTCCCTGCTGGGCGGGAGGCCTGCTTCTCCCTCTCCCACTCCCCCTGCTTGTGTTCCCTCTCCCGCTGTGTCTCTCTCTGTCAAATAAATAAATAAAATCTTAAAAAAAAAATGTGTACCTTAGAAATAATGGAATATGCTATTACAATGTAAAGTTATACAGGTCCCCTCTCATTATATTTCCCAGGAAGAAATAATGGGCTTTGAGCTATTGTTCATCACCAGGTGTGCCGGCAGTGCTCCTGAGCTGAAGTTGAGCTTCACCCCGGCACCCCCAGATGTGCAGGGCCTCCCCAGAGAGGAGCAGGTGTACCCACGGCTGCCCCTGACAGTGGCCCATGTTCCAAGCCCCGTCTCTAGATAAGGTGTCGCCCCACCTGGCGCAGCCACGGCCTCTCCCCCAACCTCAGTGTCTCTCTAGTAGACCCCCAGAGTGCCCGAGGGCCCCTTCTCTTCCTGCCCGGGCCTCTTCTACAGGGTCCGGGGCGGGGGATGTGACCAGGCGGTGCTGATCCCACAGGCCTGCCCTGCTACCTCATCGTCAGCCCTGGGGCTCACGCGATCTGGCTGCTTCTTGGATGCTCTCCCTAGGATGTGGGGTATGTGGGGCCTCTTGGTCCTCAGCTGTGGGACAGGGAAGAACCTCACTCTACAGCCTGCTTTTCAAACTCGGGTGCCAAGGGAGCCCTTTCACAATTCTCTGATTTCCCGAGCTTGGTTTTTGAAATCTCTAGCTAGGGGAATAAAAACTCAGGTGTATTCTGAGAAGAAAGTATATGTGTACACACAGTTCATGATTTAGGGAGTGCTGTCAAAGCATGCTGTTTAACACATGTTTGCAAAGCCTCCTGTCAATGACCCACTTGTCCCTTGGCCGAAAGAGCTGGGCAAAGTGACAAGAGCTCGAGGCTGGCCAGAGGGCCTTGTTCCCAAATGACCTGACGTGGGAGGGAGCCGCCCTGCTCAGGGATCTTTCCTGAATCCCCTGCAGGCACCGACTTAGGAATGTCCGAGTAGTCTGACACAGGGCCTTTCAAAACCTCCAACTCACTGCCTTGTCGGGAAAGATGCTTGCAAAACTCATTTATCCATCCATTCACCCATTCACCACCTATTGAACGAGCTCCCAGAATGCAGCAGGAACTGAGCCGGGCCCTGGGAACAGAGCAGGTAATGGCACGGAGGACTTCAGTGCTCCTGTCCAGGGAGCACCTCCGTGGGAGAGCCATTATTAAGCTCTGCATGTTTGCTAAAATGGAATTAAATTATATCGTACATTGACTGGTCGGTGTGCTAGCCTCCTGCCCAGTTCAGGTGGCAGGTGCATAGCAGATGGCGAAGAATCCAAGTGCTGCCTCCCGGCGGACCGGCTTTGAATGTCAGCTTCGCCACTGATTTGGTGGCAGGTAAGAGTAGAAACGAGGACAGATGCTCATGAGAAGTTGTTCAGGGACAAAGCAGAATATCAGATGATAATTCTTATATCCCCGCCTTTGCTTACGTATTCCTATATGTACATACACTTAGAAAATAGGCCAGAAGCCAAACAGGAAGGTTCTAGGAGGTTCTCCCCGCCCTCCCCCCAATCCAGGCTGATGAAATTTGCACTGCTTTTTCTTTTTCTCTTTTTACTTATTTTGTATTTTTCACGTTTTCTTCAGTAAACATGCCCTTTCAACTAAGGCTCTTTAGACTTGACTATATTCTAGGCATTATCCTAGGCGCTGGTTGTTAAAGTTGAGAAAACCAACAACCCAGTTCCTGCCCTGATTGGGATTCCAGTGTTGAGATAAGGAGAAGCTGCAAATGTCCAGTCATCATGTGATTTACATGCATGTGCCTTTCTCCTTCATCACACCCCCCACAACGGTAATGTGCAAATACATCCATACACATCAATGGTGTA